GACGGGAGGGGTCAGGTCATTGTTAACATCATGCAGCTCGCAGTTAAGCAGCCCTGGATCCATCAACTCCAGACACCTTGTTCTATGAGTTCGTGAGTGACCTTATTGGTGAGGCCATTTCATAATTGTTTTATTGGCACATGATCCACATATCAAATAATTCAATCATTCAACCTTATCAAGAAAAGTTGTGCAATTATCACTACAATCAACTTTAGAATATTTTCTTCTTTCTTGTACTCACTGGTATCCACTCTGCATTCCCCCAACCCTCCCCTGCCATGCCCCTGTGAAATCACTAATCCAGTTACCATCTCCCTGGATTCACCTATCCTGGATTTCATATACTAACACACACACACACACACACACACACACCACCTAGTAACAATAACAAAGTAAAACAGAGGAAAGTTTCAATGTAAAGAAAGTAGAAAATATTTAAAAACTAGAACAAATTTTAAATGGGTCAAAAGAGATCAAATGGGTGGACCCTGGAAAACATCTGGTTAAATGCAATTAAGTCAAGCAAACCCTCCCCACCACATTTCCTATGTTATAGATTTGAAATAGATAGGCAGATGCGTAGACACAAAAGTAGGCTGCTGGTTACTAAGGAGTGGTGTGCAGGGAGTGGTGGGGAGCTATCGCTTAATGGGTGCTGAGTTTCTGTTGGGGATGATAAACAAGTTTTGGAAATAGATGGTTGTGATGATTGTATAGCATTGTGAATGAAATTAACACCCTTGAGTTGTATTCTTAAAAATGGTTAAAATGGCAAAAAAAAAAAAGAGATCAAATGATAAGGTGCTGAATTTTAACCTAACTGCATCTGCAATAATCCAGTAATCCACTTTCCAGTGCACTCTGCATGATAGCAAGTGCACTCACATCCCTGATCTGCGGGATCTACTCAGGGATCCACTGGAGGCTTAACACACCTGTATTTCCCCTCTATTTTTTTTTAACTAGAACAACTTAAAAATTGGTCAAAAGGGAGATCAAATGATATGATATTACATTTTTAACCGAACTATATCTAGATTAGGCCATTTTTTTTTATCAGATCTTGCCATCCTTGCAGCTGAAGCCACTATGTGCAACTGGTCACATCAGGTGGAGAGGGAGCACCTAAACCCAGTGAAAGTGGAGGAGTCTTTCTAAGGTCTAAGAGAGAGGAAAGCAGCACACAAGGATTGCTTTTATTGGAGTAACTGCGCCTACACTTTGAGCTCTTACAATGCTCCAGACCCTGTGCTTCTCCTGGTTCGTGTTCCTAGCAATGCTAGGATGCCAACTGGAAAAATGGTAGCAAAAAGAGGCGAATTCACTTGCCCTAGATCACCCAGCCAGCATGTGGCTGCGGCAGGCCTTTAGTTCACACAGCTTCACACGAAAGCCCATGCGTTCAACACCTCCACACTGCCACTCCGGTCCTTAGAGCCCTGGGCAGCAAAAACAGCTCCCTAGACACAAAAGAAGACAGGGTTAAGCATTTTCCAAGGATTTACTTCCAAGTAGCTCCCCTCGTTCTCTTTTAACATTTGCAATCCACATTTTATAAACACAACCATGTTCACTGGCTTTCACTGCCCTCATGCCAAAATCCTTGAGCTTCACCAGCCCAACATCTAAGGAGTCCCTTGAAATTATATGCACAATGCGGGGTGGCTTACGGATATGTTCCTTGGGAGAAAGTCCCTCATTTTCAAAGTCATCTGCTACCCCAAAAGGTTATAAATCAGCCTGCTAGAAAAGACCCAGCAAATTTTTAGTCATATCTTGGTTGACGTCTGAGGCAACAAAGACCAAGGCCCACCAAGAAGCAAAATGTAGTCAAGAGGAAAAAGGACTTCAGAAATACAACAATTAGAAAGAAGGTGGGGCCTGGAACCCAGATCCCACAGCACCGACCTTTCCAACCTTGACATTGCTTGGAATTTCACTCTCAGAACTCCCCTTCGGAATCAATGAAGGCCTGGCTTCTTGCCCAGTCCTGTCATAGAGCCCCTCCATCTGCATGCTGTACTGTCTCCTTACTGTCCTGCCATCGAGGCCATCCCCACTCACCACGGCCTCATGTGACAGAGTAAACACTTCCCTGTCAGGGTTTGAAGTACAGGCAGAACACTTCTTAGAAGTGAGGATGAGGCGACTGTCTCACAGTCTCTGGATGTGTTATCAGTAGACTAGTTGCCTGAAAAGGCATCATGCTTGGTGAAATACAGGATATGCAGGAAAGAAGAAACCCCTCAACGAGATGGACTGACACAGTAGCAAAGACACAGTAGCCCTAATAACAATTGTGACCATGCAGGATTTTGTTTTGTTGTACGGCGGTTATGATGCCGCCTAACAACAACAATAACATAGGGGTTTGGGGGTTGTAATCTTAATCTTTACAGGATCAGATTGCGAGGCCAATCTTCCTCGAAGCCTTACAAACTGGGCTTGCATTTCAACCTTTCAGTAAGCAGCCAAGAACTTAAGCATCTCGCCATCGGGGTTTATTGCTTACCAGGGTAGTCCAGGTCCCAGCACATCCCAATAAACCCATTGTCATTCCACTGATTCTGACTCAAAGGGATCCTGTAGAGCAGAAGAGAACTGACCCATAGGGTTTCCAAGACAGAAATCTTTTGGGAAGCAGACTGCCACATCTTTCTCCAGTTAGCAACTGATGAATTTGAATCATCCGATCTTTGGGTCAACCGCAGAGCTCCTTACCCCCTGCATCACCATGGCTCAAGCACATCACACCACAATCGAGTCAATTCTGACCGACAGTGACCCTTGAAGACAGGGTAAAACCGTCTTGGTGGCATTCCAAGACCGTAGCTCTTTATGGGGGTAGGAAGCCTCATCTTTCTCCCTCAGAGTGGCTGGTGGTTTCCAACTGCTGCCCTTGTGGTTACAGCCCACCACAAAATTCCATCCACCACCAGGCCTCCTAGCTACTACATAGTAGTTCACTGATAAAAATTTGTCTTTTTAAAACCTTCTGCCATCTAGTCTATTCTGGTTCATAGCAACCCTCTTTAGGGTTTCAGAGGCTATAAATCTTTACACAGTCAAATAGCCTCATCTTTCTCCCAAGGAGCATCTGGTGGGTTTGAACTACCGACCTTGGGGCTAACAGTCCAACGCTTACCCGATAGTGGCATCACGTTGAAAAAGTAGCCCTTGCAAGGCTACATGCAATTTGGGGTAATCAGCTATTTTCTTGCTCAATGCTTGTTTACATACATTTCATGCACACCAGAGGGCTGTTGATGGTTTGATGTGAAGAGGAAACAAATCCAAACTAGCACATTGAGGAAGACCAGGTGAGACAAGAAGTCCAGTGGGTGTACAAAAAAAGTCTGGTCCGCCTGGCTGAAATCGGAGGACACAAGGAAATGGAGGAATGGCTAACACCCCCGATCCAGATTCTGCCTGACCGACAACTCTGTGCAGGGCTCACAGGCTCTGGCAAACCAGGGCCAAGTCTTTCCCATGCACCCCAGGTGTTTTCAGCAGAGATCTTTGTTGACATTGCCCATGTCCTTCTCCTTCACCAAACATAGCGTCTGAGGCATTAATTTTCTTTCAGTGGGCAGAGGAGAATGCCAAGAACTTCCTGTAGCTCATGAGTCATGGTTCCTGAGCACAGAACATCTTCTGAGGGGAATGAGGGCTGTGGGGGGCTCCCAGAATCCTAAGGGGAACTCTGCTGGAGGATTCACTGACTGAGATAAACCATGCACCATACCATCACTGCATGGCCAGGGCTGCAAGAATTCAGAGCAGGCAGGAAAGCAGACAGCTGAGCTGGGCATGGAAGCCTGACCTGTGTTCCCAGAAGCTCAACAGGGTATTGAAGGAACCAAATGAGAAAAGGTTGGTAAGATGGGTCTGCAGGCAATAACGCTTTGTTCCTACTAGTTGCTTTGATTATACAAATTCATCAGATATATAAAACCGAATATCCCTTTCTCTGTTTTCTATTCCCTGTGCCTCCCATTTCCCAGGAGGGGGAATGAATGAGCATGGAATACTCTGAAGGTCTTGATGGTGACCTTGAACTCAATTTGCTGCAGGTGGATGCTACTGTTCTCTTTGCCTCCAATGGGACATGGCAAAGCAGACCCAGGCTGCAGTGGGAGAAGAATGCCATTCATGACTGGGACTGGGACCCAGTGTCCTGCAAACCCAACACAGAAATCCCACTCTGTAGGCAGCACACGTGCTTCACAAAGTGCTCTTTGCACTTTGTGTGAATCTTCCTTGATTTGATCAACAAATCTTTATCAGCTGTGTGCCAGGACTGTGTTATTAGACATGGGGTTGTTCAAGATGGTAGATGTATTACTTTCTCCCTTAAAATTCTCACATGCTACCCATCTGACACCTGCACACACACACACAAAAATAACCAAAAGTTCAACACATTGCTGTCCAGTCAATTCTGACTCGTGGTGAAGCTTTAAAACAGAGGACTGTCCCATCAGTCTCCAAGTCAGGAGTTTGAAACCACAAGCCGTTCTGCAGGAGGGAGAGAGGACTTTCTACTCCCAGAAAGTTACAGTCTCTGAAACCCACAGGGCAGTTCTACCCTGATCTGGAGGGTTGCTATGAGTTGACCTCCACTGGATGGCACTGCGTTTGGTTTTCTGTTAATCTTCCTGGGAGCAGACAGCCACATCTTTCTCCCATTGAGCCGCTGGTGAATTCGAACCACTGACCTTTTGGTTAGTAGTCAAGCACTTAATCACAGTGCTACCATGGCTCCTTTACAGTAATGTTCTCTTCTCTTCTTTAACCTAGAGTACAGATTTTCCAGAGATGGTATGTCCTGGGATTTATCTCCATTTCAAATGCTATTGTTTTCCTAAATTCTATTATATCCATTTTTGCTCTTGACTTTCTATAGAGGCTGTTCTCTTTCACATCTTCCTCCTGTGTCTCACAGGAACTAGTCCCCCAGTCGCAAATGGAGCTAAAATGCTGACAACAGCAAGACACTTTCCTCCCGAGGGTCAGTTTCCTAGTGTGTACAATGAGGTGTTAATGAAGATGAACTCTAAGGACCAGTCCAACCCTGCCTTTCCAGGATCTGGAAGTTCTAAGTTAGCACGTCTCATTTTTAGATTGAGGAAGGAGGTCTAAAGAAAGTCATGGGCTGAGTAAAGATTAGAGATGTGAAATTGTTGGATTGCTAAACTGCTTTGTCCTGGGTGGTACTGTTGTCATGAGAGACCAGCCCCTGGAGAAGGGCATTATACTTACTGCAGGGTCAGTGGATTAAACCTCAGTTAAGCTTTGAAAAAACTACGTAGGTCCCTCATTGCTAGCCCTGGGTGCGGGAAAGAGGAGATTATTGAATTGTGAAAAGCGTTCTCCCACCTGGTTTGTGGCAGTTATATAATCTGGTGTCAACTTGAGACTTCAGAGTGAGAGGGTATGGTTTAGCCTGTCAATCAGGTTGCAGCTTGATGACCTCATTTGGAGGTGCTAAGGAGATAAATAGCTCGCTGGAGGTGGGACACTAACATACTCTGCGAGACATTCATGAAGAGGAGCCTGATGGAGCCAGAGCCCTGGAGCTGGAGGAGCCATGTCGAGACCCCTGCCAGCACTGAGATGCTTCCACAGCCACTGGATCCACAAGACTTTGCACCGACTGGCCTGTGATCTTTCTGCATTCGGCATCATTGCATGTGTTTCATGAGTCTGAAGAGGACTTTATATATTGGTATCAAACATATGGGCTAATATCAGACTTATGGACTTGATCTGGACTGGACTGGGATGTTTTCTCAATATTCAATTGCTTTTGTATATAAAGCTCTTTCTTATACACATATACGTGTTTATGAATTTGTTTCTCTAGTCTACCCGCATTAACACATGGTTCTTACATATATCTCCCCCACCCCGACATGTGAACCACTGGTACAAGTCCTTGCCATTTAGGGGGCTAGTCACCATGGCCATAGCACAGACCACCCACTGGGTATTTGATGGAGCTTCAGAAGCTCGGGTCCCAAACCCAGAGCTATGATGGGTAATTTGAAATCCGGGAGCTTGGTGAGATTTAAAAGCACTACTCTAGAACATTCTACCTCCAAACAATGAGAATTGTGTCCTTTCAAGGTCCTTTCCCATTTAGAAAGGCCTTCATCCTTCAGGAACCCCACATTCCATAAGAGGGATCTTTTCTCTGAGAAGCTTCTTTCATTTTGTTTTGTTTTCCTGAAACCAGGTAATAGGAAAAAGACCAAAAGTATCTTTTTAAATTAAGGTCATTCATTACTGGTCATAAACACTGATGAGTGCTGCCTTCCTGCCTCAAAGCCTGAACCAGGAGACGTTCATGTGAGGCTGCAAGCAAGATGGAAAATATCAGGCATCCGAAGAGGGAGATTACTCTGCAGTCCTCTGCCTCCTATTCTAGAGGGATGCTGGAGAATCCAAACCCCCATTCACTGCAGCCAAGAGGCCTCCCTACCATCTGTCATGCTGGTAAAGTGTCCCCACTGAGATTTCTCTCGGGAACCCCATTTAGTGCAAATATCAGATGGTTGGCAGTGTGCGCTGGAACACAACCTAAACATGAGCAACCCTTCCAAAGTGTGATGCTGCCAGTGAAACATCCAACCGGGGCCTGCTTTGTAATTGGTCGAGTTCTGTGCCAGAGCAGAAGCAGAAATGATGTCTTGGAAGCAGCTTTGGGGACTGTTAATGATAGAAGCTAAAGGCTGTCTATCTCCAGAAGATACTGGCTTTGACTTTTGGCCTTGGGCATCAGCATAACATGGACTTTTCTTTGCCAGTTTTCTTCTAAACGGCGAGCACCATCATTTTTAATTGTGTTAGAGATCATAACTATCATTGGTCAAAGCCATTTAGGAGGCATTTTGTTCTCTCAGCATGACCTCATCTTACTAAGGGAAGCATTTTTAAAGAGTCTGGTCCTGTTGTCACTCAAGTTGGCAAGCCAGGCAGGGATCCACACCTGCCTTTCTGTGAGCCTGTGGGCAACTTATTTTGATCCTTTTTTTTAATCTCCTCAACACTGCCTCCAAAAGAGAAGGCAGGGAAAGATTACCAAAGTTGAGTTGGTGTGTTAAGGAGGGTTCTCTAGAGAAACAAAACCAGGACCCTTATGATTATGCATATATATGGATAGGTTTATGCAGTGAGAAGGAGTATAACATAATTAGTCCACACAGCAGTACAGAGGGTGCTCAGTTCAGCTCACTTTCATGGAACAGTTAATATACTGGAAGTCCTTCAATTCCACGTGGGCTGGGGTCCAAGGTCAAGGAAGTAGACATCAGAGTCTTCCCTCAGGCAAGACAGGCAGAGTCTGCCCGCAGGCAGCAGGGTGGGTCAGCACCAGTCAGTAGCTCAGGAGCTTAGTGAAGCAGGCCCCAACAGGATTGGGATCTGGCACTCAAGCATGGCGACAAGATCCACCAGCCTCCAGCTCAAACATGTACTCACCAGCAGTGTGGTGAAGCAGGTCTCGAAGGAGCCTCAAACTCTAGCAATATGATCCACAGGTTGGCGTGGCCCACAGTTGGTGTAGCACACAGGTTGAGGCAGAGAACTAGCTAAAGCAGCAGCATGCTGGTCCGATATCACCAGGGAGCAAGACAGATATGGGATGCCGGCAGGCTTCATTTATCTCAGTCGCCCTCCAATCAAGCTGCAACCTGATCAAACTCTGGCCCCATGTTCCTATTAGCCTAGTTGGCACAATAAACTTAACTATCACAAGTCTATATTCTCAGGAAGTCTACAGGACAGCAGTGGCTAAGTGTGGTTGCTGTGAAGGTAATTCCAACTCCCATTCATCATAAGTATTACAGCACCGGTTCTCAACCTGTGAGTCACGACCCCTTTGGGGGTCGAATGACCCTTTCACAGGGGCACCCAATTCATAACAGTAGCAATATTACAATTATGAAGTAGCAATAAAGATAATTTTATGGCTGGGGGGGTCACCACAACATGAGGAACTGTATTAAAGGGTCGTGGCATTAGGAAGGTGAGAACCACTGTATTACAGTGTGGAATTGCTCCACAGTTTTCTTGGCTGTAATTTGACAGAAGCAGATCACCTGGCCTTTCCCTGTAGGATTACGAGGTTGGCTTGAAATTTTAGGTTAGCAAGCACAAACGGTTTGCACCTCTGGGGACCTCCTACGAATGCAGCCATTGAGTCGAGGCCAACTCATAGTGACCTGACAGGACAGCGTAGAACTGTCCCTGTGAATTTCCAGGATTATAACTCTTTTATTTTTTTCACATCTTTACTCTCACATTTTATTTTATTTTTAATCATTTTATTGGGGGCTCTTACAGTTCTTATAACATTCAGATTATAACTCATTACAGGAGTAGAAAGCCCATCTTTCTCCAGAGTGGCTGATGGTTTTGAACTGCTGACCTGGCCGTTAGGAACCCAGCTGGTAACCACTATGTCACCAGAACTCCTCCCTGGACCACTAGTTTAGTATATTTATATTCAAATACTGGAAAACATTTCCATTTTCTTTAGTCCTTGTGTGAGAAAAGTGAAGCTCACAAGGGAATCATATATAAAAGGCAGGCAACATTTTTTTAATGCTAGAAATTCTTTTTTTTTTTTAAAGAATATTCATCCACTCTTTCCAATAGTTGAAAATATAAAGGATTCTGTTTTATAAATCCTCTAAATTTGTTTCTTTTTTTCCCAAAAATTCTTTTACCTATGATTGATATCACAGGAGTTCTGGTTTAGTGGGTGAATCACTGGGCTGCTATGTAAAGTCAGCGGTTTGAAACCACCAGCCACGTTAAGGGAGAAAGATGGAACTTCCTACTGTCATAAAAAGTTAGTCTCTGGAACTCACAGGGACAGTTCGACCTGTTCTGGAGGGTCACTCAGAATAGGAATCAATTTGATGGCCATGACTTTGGGTACGGTTGATATGGGAGGAAAAAGAAGACTGGATTCATGATCTCTGAGATTCTCAGGGCAAAGCTGTAGGGACACAACCTAGAAGAAGGAAGAAAAAGATAGTCAACAGATGGCCCAAAGCTGGACATACTGACCCTGTGTGAACATCAAACGAGAGTGCTCCAAACACGGCACAGGCAAACTGCTCAGCTTGTCAACCCCCAATGCTTTAGGGCCTTGGAGATGTCTTCCACACAACAGGAAAAGTCCACCGTGTGCCTCCTGTGGTCCCAATTCTTCTTCCCAAAATATGAAGGAGTACACTTTTGAACTATGATGTTGGATGAATGAGAGGTCTTACAGCCTAGATTTCTGCTGCTAGCCATAAAAGACATTTCTAGGGAAGTCTAATTATACCAATCCCAAAGACCTTAACATTTAACCTTAACAAAGAAAATAATAACTACACAGAAACTAGGCCAGCCTCAGCTGGTCAAACTGCTGAACCTTGTGCCATCAAAATGTGCTTGCTTTCAGGAGCCAGTTTCAGCAATCCGCCGCACTTTATGCTTACCTTCCCGCCTGAATGGCTGTTTAATATCATGGGACCCATGAGTCTCAAGAAAGATAACAACTTGATAAATTATGAGCATACTGTCATTTCTCCAAGGGTAAGTAGGTTAAGTGGCACAGTGCAGGAGAAAACATTGTGGGGAAGCAGCTGGTGGATTCTCCATGTGGAAGACAAAGAAAGCGTATGCAGACGGGTGACTAAGCTGTCTGTATTGGAAACAGTGTGTGTTAACATTCGCTTTGCCACTGAAGTCACTCTGTTGGGAAGGCAAAGGTCAAAAGCATGTGAATCCTTCCAACATGGCCCTGAGACAGAGTGTAGGTGTGTGATCGGTCAGAACCACCTAGAGTTGGAACAATCTTCTTCATGGGGCCAGGGCTGAATGTGGGGAGGTGGGGGTGGGCAGGGAGGGTATATACGTATCAATTGGGAACTGATGGAGCCTTGTGCCAGGTTTTGAAAAGACCTGGAGTGTTTAGCTTAAAATATTTTGCAGAGAGATAATAAATTAAATGTCAGTATGATGGAGTAAGAAAGGGAACTTAGGGAGATAAGTGGGAGCTGATGATAATTGGAGATGTGGGGAGAACACAAGATGCATTTGGCAGCCTGAGAAAAGATTATATGTGTCATGGTTAAAGAAAAATCGCCTCTGTCTGAAGTGGAGAGTTGCACTGACACCTGAAGGAGGGTCACTACTTGAGTAGGTGGGAAGGAAAGAACATTATGAGCTTATAATGGAGATTGATATGACATGCCTGATTCTAGTTGCAGTAGAGAATTGATGTTAGAAATAATGAGAGAGAGCTTGGTTAAGCAAGGTGGGGCTTGATGGAGGAGGTTGTTTTTTCTCTTCAAGTTAAGATGGCATGCAAGTTACAGGGCAACTCCACTCAACAACGAGTGGCTGCCTGGAACACTGCAATGAAGATCCTAAGCAGTGTTTGGACTTGAAGAAAGTGCAGTGATCGATTCGTAATGTCTGCCCTGGCATTGTGCAATGGTGTACAACTTCTTTGGTGACTTGGTTCTGTTGCAGAACCCTTGAGATTTAAGTGCTAAAAGTAACTCTACTAAACTGAGAGATAATATTAATATCAACAAGAGAAAAAAATGCCTTTTGTGCTGAGGGGAAAAAAGGTGAAAGAATTGTGTCTTGGGTTTAAATTGTTCATTGGCTCATTCAAATTGTTTTGTGTGCCTACCAGGAGCTTGGCATCGGTGATAAACAATAGACAAGGAAGATGGCTTCTGGTCCTCAAAAGTTCACAGTCTAGTTAAGGAGACAGACAAGTAAATTTCACCAAAGATGTAGGACTTATTTTGAGCACAATCCGACTACACTGCCAGAGCAACAACAAATAAAGTGTAGAGTTGAAATATGTCCTGTGTAAAGTGGGTGAAGGGAGACAGTGGGCAGTGTAAGACATGAAAAAATAGTAATTTGTAAATTATCAAGGGATCATGAGGGAGGGAGGGAGGTGGGAGAGGGGGGAATGAGGAACTGATAGCAAAGGCTCAAGAAGAAAGAAAATGTTTTGAGAATGATGATGGCAACACATGTACAAATGTGCTTGACACAATGGATGGATGGATGGATTGTGATAAGAACTGATAGAGCCCCCAATAAAGTGATTTTTTAAAGAACTATGTCCTGTGTATACATGTGCATGCATGTGTCCACATATGCATGTATGAGCAAGCCTATATCCACATGCATAAAACATGTAGCTTGCACATACACACTGTAGAACTAAAGCTGGGAGAGTTGAAATAACTGTCTGACATGCTTAGAACTAAACAGCTCACCAGTCCCTTCCCTCTTTTTCACTCATCCCATTATTTCCCTCCTGACTTTGAGGTGTAAAATTCATCCCCCAAAAAATGGAAAAGAGGAATGAGACTATGGGGTTGAAAAACAAAGATCTCACATGCATAGTATGGTACCCTCCTTCTCGCTTCTCCTCCTCCCCCACCCCACCCCAATACATTACTGGTTCTGACAGCTAACGGTGACATTGCTGTGACTGAGCAAATGTGTGTTTTGTTGCTTAGCAACCCGTATTGTTTGCGTGACTAACCCCTTGCTTGCACATATGTAACTGTAACGTTGACTCTCCAAAGACTGAAAGAATGTAACTGAATCACAATTCTACTGTTAGGAGATCGGGGAAGTACAAAGGCATTATTTACCTACGTTTTTGATGCAACTCCTGAGATGAGGCAGCATTCCAAGACCTTCAGGTGAGATGACTCAGAAAGCTGAAAGGAGGATGTGAAGAGGAACAGCATGACCAGTCTCGAGAACAGGGCATGTGTTCGTCTGAGCGGACTAGAGAAACAAATTCATAGACACTCATGTGTATAAGAAAGAGCAATTGAATATTGAGAAAACATCCTAGCCCTGTCCATATCAAGTCTATAAGTCCAATATTAGCCCACATGTCTGAAAATTCCTCTTCAGACTCACGCAGCACATGCAATGACACCGAATGCAGGAAGCTCACAGGCCAGTGGGTGGAAAGTATTGTGGATCCATTAGCAGTGGAAGCATCTCAGCATTGGTAGGGGTCTCCGTAGGGCTCCTTCAGCCCCAGGGCTCTAGTGTAGTAGCTCCATGTGTCTTGTCCACAGGAATGTCTTGCAGAGAGTGTGCGAGTGTCCCACCTTCAGGGAGCTAGTTACCTCCTCCGTGGCTCCAAAATGAGGTCATCAAACTGTGACCTGATTAACAGGTTAAACTCCACCCCTTCACTCTTAAGTCTCAAATTGACAACAGATTATGTGACTACCACGTGGTAGAAATCAATTTTACTGGCATCGTCCTTCCAAAGTGATGGAGAGACCCAGTCTAGGGGGTCTCAGTCAGACTTAGCCCCTGTGTAAGGCTGAGGTGGTCAGTAGGATTCATGTTAAACATAATCAATACCTTGCTACTTCTTAAATTGGGCCTTCAGAGCTAGAAGTTTCTTCAGGATACTCATGATTCATGGATAAGCAAATTGCTGAACATTTAGCTACAGCATGTCCAACTGTTTACATATTATCCTGTATAAGCCTATAAGCATGTGATTCCCAATGAAGCCAATAATCCTTCCTTACACTGAAATCCACCATCACTCCCACCAAAGGCTGCTCCTTGCTTGGCATCGAGGTCTGGGTTACCCTGGTCCTGATGCTTCCTTATATGTCTTCAGGGGAAGTGCTATCAGGAAGAGGGGACAATAGTCCTGTCACTTGGTACTTGTGTCCTGAGCAACTGTACAAGTCTCAGATTCCATATCTATAAAATGGGCAAAATAATAGTATTCCATGAGGTTGTTCCAAAAATGTAATGTGAAAATGTACAGAAAACTTTTACCAAGCTCTGACACATAAAGCGCACAATAATAAATGCACTGGGTAGGACTGTGGTATTGAGGTGGACACCTAGCTTCACCACTGACTAGCTGCTGACAGCGAACAAACTACTTCATCTTCAGGAGCTTTGATTTCCTCCTCTGCAAAGTAGAGCCTATCTTATAGAATTCTTCAGAACGCGAGATGAGATAACATATATAAAAGACCCTGGCTCTAAATGGATATTCCACGAATATTCCTTCATCAGTGGGAACTACTTCTCTGGTTCTGACCATTGTTCCCTTTTAAGTGGGGGCTAACCTAAATGCGGCAAATTTAATACTGTGCCGGTTTTCGGCTGAAGTTTTAAGAATGACTGGAAGTTTCTGCTTCTGCTCACTTGGGAGCCTGAGCTGCCAGGTAAGAAACGCCCCTGTGGAAGAGGTTGTATGGAGAGACCCTGTGCAGAAGCCAGGTGAGAGGCAGAAGCTCTGACGTCTCTGAGACCTGGCTGAGCCCAGAGCCAGCTGACCCACCAACTGAACGCAGCCATCAAGTACCCTCACAACCACAGACCTGCCCAGGTGAATGGCGCCCACATTACAGAATTATGATCAAGTACAAGGGTCACTTAACCTAAGTCCCTGCATTTGGGGCTGGCTTATTACGAAGTAGTAGATGATCAGAAATACGTGTTCATGAGCCATATATGAATGTTTTGTGTGTGTGTTTTCTTCTCATGAGTGACAGTGTACATAACATTTTTAAACTGAATTTCTCTTACTTAACATGATGCTTCTAAGTTTAGCATATTGAAACCAGAGATCTCGTGCACCTATTTTAAATTGCTGTATGATATTGTATGTGTAATGTAACGTGCTTAAAAAGTGAGTTGTTTTCAACCTCTCAAGAAGTTATGAACTGTCATGTGTAGGTTTCCTTGGGTATATGTGAGAAACCAGCCCGTTTATATGTTGTAGTTAGTTGTCATCAAATGGATTCTGACTCGTGGCAGCCCCAGTGTGCAAACAGATCTATCCTCCATAACATAAAAATTATGTGAGCGCTGGGCCTCACCTCCTCTCACTACAGGAGAGAGGAGAGAGAATCAAGAGCTGCGGCACCGACTGCCCAGGCGGATTTTCCTGAGGCAGAAGTCAGACATGCTCTCCTCGCCAGACTTCTT